GTGTCACATCATGCATCAGTGGAAGCAGAAGAGTTCCTACCAGACTTAGTCGCGGCGTGGATGCTGCTGCAACGGTCAGGCCTTGACGGCTCTGAACGCGCCACCATCATCGCCAGCTTGAAGAACCACTTCACCACCGAGAAAGTGAAGGAAGCCCTCAAGCTGAATTGGACTGAAGAGGACCTCAGGAAGCGGGATCAGACCCGCAGTTCAGCCCTCGTCGCCGAAGATTTTGAAGAAGACGACGCCTTCCTGCGTGAAGGCACTACCAACATGGTTGACCAAAGAAGAGATGGAGGAGTACAACTACCTCACACAAGAATCCGAAGAAGCACTGGCCGCAACACAAGGTGCCCGGAGGACACTCCATGACGGTTGGGAGAAACAATCCATGATGCGAAAGAGCCGCCAATTCTACCCCATGAAGCGGGAGAGTACTGTCAAGTGAAAATCCGAAAGGGTGGCCTCAGATCGGAAGTGCTTCCGATGTGGAGGCTCACACCGGACAGACACTTGTCCCAAACGTGAAGATCAACAAAATTCACTGCCACCGCTTCAGGTGATACGACAGAGTCAATTGGCTACACCATCCCAGAACACATCCGGAGATTTTGAGGAGTCTGCCAACTTAGCGATGGGTTCGCTTTTGGAAGCAGGCAAAGCTATCATTGACCCTGGAGCCACTTCTACAGTAGGCAGTGTGGATGCTTTGACCCACATCGACAACATCAACGCGGAACACGGGCTGAGCAGCGACATCCAGGTCGATCCCTCGGAACGTCCAAGCTTTCGATTTGGGAATAACGGCCGGACAGTTTGCCTGTCCACAGCCCAGCTGCCAGTTCCGCTGCATGGAGGAGTGAACGAGGCCCCATCAACCACCTTTGGAACAGCAAACCCCCATTCCGTTCCAAATCAAGGGTCCGATCGGTTCGTCTCGACAGGGAGTACTCACGCCACCTGCAGATTTGAACTTCTCTCAAAAGTCGAACACTAGTCACTAGTGTGACATCCTTCATCCCGTGTCAAGATGCCTGGCATGACCAAAGAGGTCCTTCGCCAGAAGATCATGGAGTTCGGGGAGACACCTCCCGAATCTTGGCGCAAGAACCAGCTGGAAGCTCGTCTAGTGGAACTCAAGGAACAAAATCCAGAAGCCAAAGTCCACGACCTCCTGAAGGAAATGAACAAAGCTGCCAAGAAGAAGCACGATCTCCAAGTTTTCCTGACACAGAAACTGGGAATCACCATCACGGGCAACGAGACCATCAGTCGACTCCTCTCCCTGGGAAACCAGGCCATTATGGAGAACAAGCCCCCGCTGGCGACCGACGTGATGGGATTCGGGAAGTTTGCCCCCCTCACATACCAGGATGTGCAGGAACAACACCCAGATTACACCGGGTGGTCCAACATCCCTCGAGGAGACGCAGATGACCCGCTACCTCAAGTGGGTGGACCAGAAGAAGGATATGGACAAGCCGACCAGCATGAAGAAGGGTTACATGAATGTGAGCAGTGGTGGGGCAGCGAAGGCGAAGGCCTTCCTACTTTCGAGTGCGCATTTCTTCAGGGTCGTGAATTCCAGGACCAGCTCTTCATTGAACCCTCAAGGAGATCACGGATGCTATGAATCTTCCTGAAGGCTCCATCACAAGACCTGCAAAAGCCGCATATGGCTTGGTTCACGAATTTCTGGAACAACAGGGATTTATCCGGCAAAAGGCAGATCCTTGCTGCTGGGGACTTTTTGACCAAAATCAGAAGCCCATAGCATGGATCTGTTCGCACGCCGACGACTTCTTGTTCGGAGGCTCCGAGACCGACTTGCGCTAGCAACATGTGAAAACAGCCATCACCACTCGGTTCAAGTTTGGAGAGTGGGAAAAAGGGAAGTTTGTACAATGTGGAGTGAACATTGAACAACGAGATGACTTCTCCTTCAAGATTTCACAACCTGAATTCCTGGAACAAGTGTCGGAGATTTTTGTACCAAAACAAAGGAGCAAAGACCTTGAAGCTTTGGCCTCACCCGAAGAGCAAAAGCAAATGAGAAGCGTCCTTGGATGTTCAGCATGGTATGCCAGACAACTGGCAATGGAGCTAAGTGCACCCACAGGCCTTCTTTTGTCCAAAGTGCCGAAGGCACGAGTGTCCGACCTTTTAGAAGCAAATAAGCTTCTGAAGAAAGCCAAGGCCAGACAGGGCCAATGCATGATCATCCATACGCTAGACAAAGATGACCTCATGTTGACAACATGAACATGGGTAGATGCTGCCTATGGCAACAGACCTGACTTGAGTAGCACAAAAGGGGTGTTGATTGGATGTACAGATTGCAACATCCTCCAAGGAGAACTATCTCAGGTCAACCCTATTTTCTGGTGCTCCTCGAAAATCTCTAGGGTTTGCCGCTCGAGCGCATCAGCAGAAACACGTGCTGCTGTGGATGCGGAGGATCAAATGTACTCACTCCGATTCCAAAGGGCCGAATTTCTTGGTCACCATGGAAATGAGTGGTCTCCTGATGAAACCGTCAATAAAGTCCCGGGAGCCCTCGTGAGTGACAGCCGAAACCTTTACGACCGTCTTTCTTCCACCGTCCTGACCTTAGGAGGAGCCGAAAAACGAAGTGATATTGAAACCCTTTGTCTGAAAGAGGCCTTGAACTTCAACAAAGTTCACTTGCGCTGGGTGAACGGAGAAAGCCAATTGTCAAATAGCCTCACGAAAGACAATGAACCACATCAGCTTCATGTGTTCAATGAACGCAGTGGTAGGTGGCGGATCGTTTACAATGAGTCCCTGGCTTCTGGTCGGAAGAGGAAACAAGAACGGAAAGGACCAATAGATTGAAAGTGGCACTTATTTTTTTTAATGAGTATGGACCCGTGCAGAATTTGCATTCATGGGTCACGCTCTCACACGCCCATCGGTGATCTCGTCTCGACTCAAGCACCCCACCTAGCAAGGACAGAAACAGTTCCTTCCGAGGGGCACTTGCGCCCGTGTGCTTCGCACAAAAAGGCAATTCACCAGCGTAGCCACACCACTCGATCTATATATATATATATATGTGTGTGATATATGTAGTTCTTCTCCGCATATTTTTCTGGCATATTCTAAACCCTAATCAGGGTTGCAAAAGTATAAACTACCGCAAGGGCACTTTGCCCTCAGAAGAAGTTGTAAAAAGACTGCCACATCCCTCTTCACACAACTGAGGCTTCGGCTGCCCACGGATTGCCATCACAGATCGATCGATTGATCGAAGTCGCACACGGCGTCGTCCGCTGGTTCGCTGGGTTGAAAGGCGTTGGTTCGCCAAAATGCTGAAATTTGAGCCACAAAGTCGCGGAGAAACAGTCACAATCGCCATGCTTTGACTTGGAAAGAGTCCTTACCCCCCGGTAGAAGTGGAGAAAAGGGTCTCGCATAGACTCTTAGATCAATCCCAGGCCAGTGCACCCCTAGGAAATCTACAACCACAGGCCTTTACCAGATCGCCGTTCTCTTATGCTGAATCTGAAGGGAGCCACCCTGAGTTTGAGATAAACCCCTATGGATCCACAGATGAACCACGAACAGTCGACTGTCGCCCCTCACACATTTTCACCATGGTTGGTCTGTTGGAAGGCCAGCGGAAGGCTGACAGGGCAGTGCAAGAGCTGGTGTTTCTCAAGTTCCTCCTCCAACTCTGTGCTGCTTTAAAGCCCAGTTGCCGTCCAGAGGAGTCCGAAGGATTTGTCCAGAGCCTGTGGCAACTGCCTGCAACATGTGGAAGAATAACACAGGGAGATATGCCCAATTGCAAAAATTGCGCATGTCAATCCAAAGCCCTTCAACTTTTGGTTTATCCAAGAGTACGGGATATGCGGTTGTTTAACGCCTTCAGCTCCTCTTTGTGCAACAGGGATGAAGACGAACTTCGCTGGCCAGGAGTTCAGCAAGTAGGGTTAAGAGACAAGTTTCACATGAACAATACAGATCGCACCACATGTCTACGCTGGGTTGCGCTGGGCGCCATGAGCCTTCAAGCGCAGCTACACTCGGAGCACAACAGCGGTCTTCTTCCCAGGAGTGGCAGCCAAGCTGTCAAATAATCGAGCTGTTGCCAGGCCACTACTTCCGCAGCATTTCTTAGCAAAGCACAAAAACATTCCAAGGAACTGTCAGAAAATGATGCGGCCCACCGCTACCAACCTTAAGGCTCTGCTTTCTTACTGCAAGCATGTTGTGGAAACAAAAGCTGGGCAAATTCATCAGGGGTTCCTTCCTGGCCCGCATCCTTGGCATTACAGCGAGAAATTGATTCACAATTAACCTCGCAAACAAAAGACAAACAATAAGAATCTTCTGAAAAGGTCACTCTACATCGCGATACTGTAAGAGAAGAGTATTGGAACTGCTTGCGACATGTGTGAGACGAGATCAGCATGGAAGAATAACACGGCAAATGCCTAACTGCAAAGTTGGGCGCGTCAATCCAAACACGTTCAACTTTTGGCTTGTCCAAGGATATGTCTGCTTGTTTAAAGCCTTCAGCTCCTGTCTGTGCAACAGGGATGGAGCCGAACTTCGCTGGCCAGGAGTTCAGCAGGTAGGGGTAAGAGAGAAGTGTCACATGAACAATACAGATCGTAACATATTTCTACCCTGGGTTGCGCTGGGTGCCCAGAGCCTTCAAGTGCGGCTGCACTCGGAGCACAACAGCGGTCTTCTTCCCAGGACTAGCAGCCAAACTGTGTATCGTCTCTTCACGCTATGTGGAAGCCCAACGCCGCCGGTTCTGCGACTTGGTCACAGCCGCTTCTGTTTAAAATGACGGGAATCCTCTGAGATAGGAAGGAAAAAAGAAACTTTGTCGCTGAGACATTCCCATACACATCATTACACATCTAATCCTTGGATCACTCCACCACTTGGTCGTCCAATACGAGAAGTTCACCATCAACTTTCACACCACGCGCACCGGGAGCTGCCCTTCCGAATCTTCCAGTTCGGAAAGCTCGCCACATGGCATGAGCTATCTCTTCAATGCTTCACCTGCAAGACATTGACCCTGAACTTGCGCTGCTGATTGATTCTCGGCTCCCACAGGCGCAGCGGACAACGCACCGAAACTGCCACACCCCTACGGCTGACAACACCTGACCCTTGGTCGGGGGTGGCCGAAGCCTGCTAGCAGTGGATGATGTGCATCTTAGTTTGGGCCCAAAGGCTTGTTCCTGGCATGATTGAAGATGTAGCAGCCAGCTGGCGCTTTTGGGCTTCCAAATGTGGCATGGCTTTTCGCCGCCCAGTCAAAAAAAACGACTTTGCGGAGATCACCAAGCAATTTTGGTCTTGCTTTCAATGCTCAAATCATCTCAAATCTGAAATGGGGGGTCACAACTTCAGCGTCCAGATTGCGTGTGACTTGCAACGCTGAACAGAAATGTGTGAGCTTGTCCAGACGAGATCACTCGGCAAACCGGGCCAACCCACACCACGAGTTACAGCTCTTCCTCATCTCAGACACGCCACGAGTGGGAAGCTCAGTCCAGGAGGATCTAAAACATCCTAAAACACTGGGATCAGAGCCACATGAAGGATACACGAGGTCTGAACAAGAACAGCTAACCTCCACTCGAAGGTGAGCCAAACTTGCACTCACGCAGTCTGAAGAAGAACCGCTAATTACAACAAAGATTGAGGCCGCTGTGACCTCTTTGGTCTCACCGAGCGCTCGCAGACCAGCCGTGGCCACAAAACATACTGTAAGTCTGCAGAGTCTGCAGCCTTTGTCTACCTGCCCCTCTGATACTGCAGCTCAAGAGGCAAACAAGCCCAAGCATCTCCATCACTGCAACCTCTGGGCTTGCCCCTGGCCTTCCACTTGTCCCACTTCCAAGGTGCAACATTTTTCTGAAAGTTTTACGGTCGTCATCAGCCGGCTTCCCACTTCAACTCCAAGCAGAGCACATTGACCTTTTTACAAACACTGGCCTTGTGACTGATGTTCCAGATTCATTGGTTTGTCTCAGAATATTCATAGGAGCCTCCCAAACAGAAAAGGTTCAAACCTCCCTGTCCACACACAACTCCAACGTCGTGCAAGTGTCTATGACCTCATGGACTCATGGTCTATCGACCAAATGTCCACACCTCTGGGAGTTATTTGTCCACATCGCTTGCTGCCACCAGGGGGGCCATTCCCACAGAGTGCCGCGATCTCGCAACCAGAAATTCCATCACCAGAAAGCCACGGAGCGGACGACGAAGGAGATCGGTCTGGGTCGGGGATGTTGGGGATGAGTCGTACAGTTACACGAGTCTCAACTGAAGCAAAGAAGGCTAGGATTGACAAGAGCTTGGCGAAGCCATCGTCTGAGGAGCTAAATGAAAGATCGCTTGCAGCAAGTCTCGCACCAAGTCTGCACTTGTCCAAAGGCATGCAAATCTCCCAGCACTGCTCCGTGTAGAACCTAGCTGGACAATGTACAAAGCCCTGTGGCTGACCATGTGGAGGTGCCCAGCCATGCCTCTACCGTGCCCTTAGGTTGCATCGCTCTTAGGTTGGAGGCCATCGCTAGCAGGTTGGAAAAGATGTTACGAAGCAGGATGTCTCCATGCCTCCACGCTGCCGTTCCACCGTGCCCTTCTTCAAGCAGTCCCGGCCCCCCCAACCGCAGTGCCCAAAATCCCGGTGTCTCCGTTCTCCAGGTGGACATATGGTTGTGGATCAAAACCAGGATACCTTGCTTGACCTACCGGAAACCCGCCCCTTCCGAGCGATTCGATCCAGCCAAGCACCTCAACGCCCAGGTACCGACCGTGCATTCCGGCACCGACGTGGAACGTGTGGCAGGCGGCTTCGGCACCTGGAGTCAATCTCAGTGGACGTCCTTCACACTGGAGACACCGAACTGCCAGCACTCCTCACGGAATTCGCGGCCAATCTGGAAAATGGCGGATTTGCAATGGGAACTCGGTCGTTTTTGAATACTTCCAGATTCTACCAGAGTCAATCTAGAATCTATTAGAATGGTTGATTCTATTGAATTGGTTGATCCTGCAAAGCATTGAAAAAAGCTAAAATCATTAGTTTGGTTATCTACTTCCGCGGGGGCCTCACCAAGCTTCCCCACATACAGGTTTTGCTTCAGCTGGAGTTGACAAGTTGGGTTATTCTGCCTGTGAGACCCTTTTTACGCCAGATGTAGCATTGCGCAGTTACATCTCTTTACACCGACAAACTTCTGCAATTCTGCAGGCATCTGCGGGTCATCGCGAGGATCTGAGTAGCGTGATTCCTAAGACCCATGGACGCTTTAGAGTGGCCGTACTCGCTCCAATCTTGGGGCATTGTTTGACGCTTTGGGGAACTTCTCTCATCCACGGATCTGTACAAAACTGTTGCATTTCAAGTGGCGCAAAGATCCATCTATCGTCACACACGAGTACCTCCAGTCACTGAGACAGCCAGCTGTCTCCCAAAAACCAGCTCAGTATCTAGTTGGCCTTTGAGATCAGGTCCAACCAACTGGATGCCTATCATCTTGCGAGGCTACTATGCATCACCTTTCACTGAAGCCTTTCACCTCGCAAAAAATACAAAACCTGATGCCTTTGCTACCTCGTGGCACAAAGGTTTACACCTGGGCCCCAAATGGCACCTGGGTGGCAAAATGGGCCCCAACTGGCAGGCCCGTTTTGCTGTTCTTGTCTGCCTTGTCCCAACCAACCTGCGCTCTGAAGATCGAAGACAAAGCACTAGTGAGAAGGCGCTGGCGAGCAGCAGGAGGGCCCGGCGAGCGTCACACTTCTTTGGACCGGACTAGCAAACTCGAAAACTGAAGACTCCGGGATTGTAGGGAGAGGGGATTCCTTCCTAGTGGTTTTTGTGCAATTGTATGCTTCGAAGAGGGGTTGATGGCGGGGCAAAGAAGCCTCAACGCTGTGTCAATCAATGCTAGTCAATGTCTGCAGGTTGCATCTAAATCTGCTGAGAAGCCTCGAAGCTAGTAATTGCTCAGTCTACACTAATGGTGTTTGATACCCTTCGCGACCACAGTACCACAGTACGCAGGCATTACAGAGTCACATCCGGTGGGCCGTTTTCAAATCAACAAAGAGGCCGGAACAGGTCTGGTCCTCAAAGACTTCGGAAACAAATCAGCTTCTGCTGATTTCACTGCACAAGCTCTTCTATATACCAGACAAGCTTCAACTCACTGCTTTGAAGCATCATGTGAAGTATACAAGCAGGAGGATGACTCAGGGTGTGAGGAACCAACTGCCAGGTCTGATCCAGCTCAGCATGGATTTTTGGCCAATGAGTTGATGGACATCCTTACATGACATGTCTCAGGGCCTCTTTAGCCTCAGTGCCACTCCTTGTTTTGGCTCCACCCGCCCCCCCGATCGTATGGCATGAGAATTCGGTAGGCGATTTAAATCTGCAATGTGGTGGTCATGTCACTGCAGCTCCCTGGCAAACACCTGGAAGAAGAACACAAAACTCTGCCAGGATGTGTTCACCTTCTTCACTGACCCCATGGTCACCATTGTCAAAAATGTGCCGGTCTGGACCTCTGCCAAGCAACTTAGTAGGGTACAGGATTGTGGAGGAAATGAGGTGTTGGTGACATTGAAAGAAAAGCGGAGTGGGCTAAGTGCGCTGGATCTTGCTAAGTGGGCTGGTCGTCAATGCACTTTGCTGTTCTTGTCTGCCTTGTCCCAGCCAACCTGCGCTCTGAAGATCGAAGACAAAGCACTAGTGAGAAGGCGGTGGCGAGCAGCGAGAGGGCCCGGCGAGTGTCACACTTCTTTGGACCGGACTACCAAACTCGAAAACGGGACTCCTTTTGGGGGAATTGTAGGGGAGAGGGGATTCCTTCCTAGTGGTTTTTGGTGCAGGTTGTATCCTTCCAGAATGGTCCTCCAGATGTGAACCAAAAGTCGATGGCAAAATGTATTTTTGTGAGGGCCTGATGGCAGGGAAGAAGCCTCAACGCTGTGTCAGTCAATGCTAGTCAATGTCTGCAGGTTGCATCTAAATCTGCTGAGAAGCCGAGTAGCTAGTAATTGCTCAGTCTACTCAGTCTACGCTCATGCTGCCTGATACCCTTCGCGACCACAGATCCACAGTACGCAGGCATTACAGAGTCACATCCGGTGGGCCGTTTTTAAATCAACAAAGAGGCCGGTAGTTTAGACTGCCCACTTTTGGGCTTGCACAATGACTGTCCAATGACTGGCCTCTTACGCAAATGACCAAAGTCAGGAGATTGGGTTCAGCTTGCTCCTAGTGACCATCGTGACCTCTTTCTCTTTCTTTACTCCTTTGGCTCACAAGAGCAGCAAAGCTCCTTCAAACAGGTCTGGTCCTCAAAGAGAAAACGCATTGCGTGCTTTGGGTGCAATGTTTCCCTACTTCCGAAACAAACCAGCTTCTGCTAAAATTCATTGCAAGCTCTTCTAGATACCAGACAAGCGTCAACTCACTGCTTTGAAGCATCATGTGAAGTATACAAGACATTCAGCTACTTCATTCCTCCGCTAGGAGGAGGATTGAGGGTGTGAGGAACCAACTGCCAGGTCTTGTCATTGTCCAGCTCAGCATGGATTTTTGGCCAAAGAAACTATCAGAGTCGATGGACATCCATACATGACATGTCTCAGGGCCTCTTTAGCCTCATTGCCACTCCTTGTCTTGGCTCCACCCGCCCCCCGATCGTACGGCATGGAACTTCGGTAGGCGATTTGTCTTTCTGCGATGCGGTGGTCACGTCACCGCAGCTCCCTGAGGAATCGCACCTCCCAGAGAAGCGTTGAAAACCAGGAACTGTACTGGCTGGGCAGATTGCTGAATTTGAAGTTGGAAAGTGTCCCACATGTTTTCAAGCAAGCTTGGTCGAGTTGCAAAAAGGTACCTGACGCAGGAACAATCAACCATCTGCCAGAAGTTCCAAGCTCTTCCAGCTCCTCACATGACAGTTCTCAGGGCCTTAGCAGCTTCAGCAAGCAGCACGCGCAACGCTGCGTGCCAGCATACAGTTTTGCAACGCGGCCTTCAAGGACCCTAATCCCTATGCACAACGACAACCATTCGGATGCGTTCCCAAACACGAATTCTAAGGCGTTTCCAAACCACCAAAAATGCACGTGGCAAAAGCAGCTTTGGCTGATGCATTCTACAGACCCAAAAAAATGCATCCGCAGGTTTTGTGGATGCACACAACATCGACCCAACCTTCACAGCTACCCTTCCACGTGCTACCACACGAGCGCCGACGCATTTTTCATCCCCGCCAAAATGCATGCCATACCGTGTTGAAGCGTCACCATGAAAAATGCATTGGCATGTGTGCCAGCACGCGTGTGCCAGGGTGTGCGTCAAAACTCCGGGTCTCAGGTGAACATCGCGCACCTTCCTGTTCCATAGGGTATGGAACGGATCCATTGTTCCATAAGGTATGGAACAGGTATGGAACGGGGGTATGGAACAAATTGTACCAAAAAACCTGACGTGTCATCTCAGTCCCGTTTCTCACGGTAAATGTATTTCAGCAAGCAAAGCGCGCGTTTTGATTGAACCTCGAACAATTGCAAGCTAGGAATCCATAGGTATGAAACGATGGGTATGGAACGGCGAACAGACATGCTCTTCCACAGGTATGGAACGGGGTATGGAACGAGATGTTCAAGAGTACATGTTCCATACCAAAACGTTTTGACTCATGGCCTTATAATAATAATAATGTGTGTGACGGAGCAGCTAAGCACAGGGCCCCTTTGGTCTCATTGCCACTCCTTGTCTTCGCTCCGGTAATTCGGTGGGCGATTTGTCTTTCTGCGATGTGGTCATGTCAGACATGTCACCGCAGCTCCCTGGCAAACACCTGGAAGAAGAACACAAAACTCTGCCAGGATGTGTTTGCCTTTTTCGCCGACCCCATGGTCACCACTGTCAAAAATGTGCTTGTCGTTGGCACTATCGGGCTACTCATCTGCGACACCTGTTGAGGCTTTTGAGAAATCGCACCTAGCAGAGAGGCGTGGAAAACAAGGAACTCTACTGGCTGGGTATGATTGCTTAATCTGAAATTGGACAGTGTCCAACATGGGACACCAGGAAAGCGCAGGTGAAGAGCTGTAATTAGAAAAGTATCTTCCGCAGGTGAAAGGTATCTTCATCTGCCAGAAGTTCCTAGCTCTTCCAGCACCGGAGATCTTCTGCATTCTCGGATCAGGGCCATCTTCTGGAGGATCTGCAGTCTGCAGCCTTTGGGCTTCAGGTTTCAAGCAGGGACAAAAAGCTCAAGAAGTTTCCTAGGCGATACTCTCAAGCCAACAAATAGGGAATCTAGCTGGCACAACCGCAACGAGACATGACTTAGGAGCTGTGTGCATGCGAGGAGCCCGGCCAACGTGTATTTTTTTGCAGATGCATCATTCTTGGTATACAGGATCACACGACACAGGACGCTTGTCTGTATTTGGACCACATGTCCAGGGTAGCATTTTGCTGACTTGTCACAAGCCATGAAGGTTTTCTGTGCGTATCTGCCATTCGAAGAACCTCCTAAGGGTCCGATACCAAACACTTGACGATACTTCCAAGTGCTCCGATATCACTGGTGGGCAGTATAGTCAAACTTGCCTTCCAAAGTGCAATGTGCTTTGAAGTCAAATCAAGGGTCTGGCCATCTGTCTTACTCAGATGGCAAGAACGAGCCCGGCACTGCTTCACTAGGTTCAAGGCCACACATGAGTCTTCGAAACGGCTGGAGACGTTGCTTGCAAAAGCAGGTTTGCAATGTACCCGGAATCCAAGTCTGTAGTGAGGCTGCAGGTTTGCGACTCCTCGTTCAGGTCCAAGTGCAGCCAAGCTGACCTGATTGATCTATTCAAAAAGAATACATCCGTTGGCCGCTGAACTGGGCTTTGCATAAGGAATGTTTCAAGAAGTCTTGCTTGGACTGCTTTCTCATGCCAATCGCCATGTGAGGGAAGGTTGCTGAAGAAAGCAACTTGGTGTAGCTGGAGTCGAAAGCCGGGAATGTCACAAGATCCTCCGAACCGATGTGGTTTCATTTGGTTTCCCTTCGAGGAGGGTGCCCTGACCTATACTAGGTCCCACCTGGTCAATGATAGTGTAAATGGGCTATCCAGGCACCCCTAAATGGAGATTCACTAACAACCAGCAGTTGGTTTCATTTTCCAGGTCCCATGGGTACTCCGAAGTGTATACACAAGTCTCTGGATTGTTGACCTCAAAAATTTAGCGAAGTGACGTGGGCAGGTTCTATTTGGTGCAAGAACCGTCTTCAAAAAATGGACTTCCCAAGACCTTGTCTCCCAGGGTCTAGAACTCAACCAGCCAAGTAGGACCTGAGAGATTGAATATTGCAGACCTGGTTGTCCTTTGAGCTTAGATAGCGCGCTTCAAAGTCTAAAATCCTTGAAGCCCAGCTGCTCTCCTTCTGCAAGCGCAGCACAGTAGACTCCCGGGGCCCTTCGGGCCAGCAGCATGGAGACCAGGACGACCTGGAACTTTAGAAGGCACGGATCCTTTTGTCACAGCCCACGTTGCCAGCTCAACTGCATGTTTTTTGTTGCCATGTCAATGTTGTGTTTTCAATGGCTTCTACTGTGCGCATCTACCATCAAGCTTATGGTCTTTAAATTCTATTGTATACTACTATAAATAAGCATACTTCCTCCAAATGCCAATGTATTTTGTGTCAGACCTTCTAAATGTTATGTCTATGATCTCCTTAATTGTATTGTTAGGCATATGCTACAAAGACAAACAGAAAACCTTATGGCCAATTCAGCAGGGATCTGGAACCAATCCTTTTGTCAAAGCATGCACTGATTGTTGCTCATCTAATGCAGAATTTTCAGTTGAACCCACAAAAAAGAAGACAAACTAAACACATTTGACCAGTTTCACAGTCTTACAGTCCGGATCACAGGCGCGGAACTCTTGCATCGCCTTGCATCGCCTTCCTTTGATGGGACAACGATGCTTAACAAAGTCTAGCCCTGAAGCCGAAGTATCAAAAAGAAATACTCCTTAAATCTGTTGTTCCACCATTCGTCCAAAAGCCGCAATGGCAGAAACAAGCATGAAGACGTTATTTTTGTTCAATGTTCCCCCCTTTCTCCATCATAACCGCAGCCAAGTCAGACACATTGGATGGCTAAAGCAATCCGTCGAAACCCAGCCCTTCCAACCGAAAACACTGGCACACTTGAATGGAACTATATATCAACATTGCCCTTCCAGTTGCTGGGAATCATCTTGTCAAGCTGGCATCCTGCCCGCGCGTCCACAAGAAAGTCCTGCCTCGGGCAAAATTAGCCACCTGACGGTGGAAGAGGTTGGCAAAAAGAGATTTGTGAACAAACGGAGGCACCTCTGTATGCTCAGAATGGAAGCTTTCTTTCCAGACAATGTGCGCGGTAGATCATGAAGATTTGAATTGCTCATAGCAACTGGATAATTGAGGAATTCTTGGAATCACCTCTCACCAGGCCTCCCCCTTACATTATCCCCCGGCACAGTCCATTATACTAGTGTTCTCAAGCATCACCAGCAAGCCGGGTTAGAGATCAGAGGCCCAATCCTAGTCACACACGTACGGTGTCACGAACACAAAAAAGAAGGATGAACAGGATTGATCCAGATTGTTTGGATTGTGAATCAATACTTCTCAAGGGATCTTTCTCTGGGTCGGATGATTTTTTGGAGAAGACTCGAAGATAGACAGGCAGCCATCTTTACGCACTGACTGTGAGTAGTTCATGTTACGCATATCCCGAGTCACCAGCAATTGATGATCGTTGCAACTCTTTCCATGTTTTTCCCGGTAACTGAAGCTTCATCAATTTACCAAAATATCAACCACAGGCAGAACTGTAAAAGTGGAACAAAAATATACTCTGTCAGGTGAAGATTGTCTGCCATGTTCACGACTGTAGTGCCAGTCTGGCAGGTGGCTGAACAATCAATTCAACATGTTTTGTCTCACCCATCTTCTCATATCCTCCAACCCAACTTAGGCATCGGCTGGCCATAGATCGCCATCACAAATCAGAGCGTTGAGATTTCAAAAGTATTGGAAAAAGAGCGTCGATCACAGGTGCTCAGCTTGGGAAACAATGGGCAATCTTTCGATGTTAACCAACCCACCTTAGAACAATTCCACTGAAGACGGTGATGCTTACACGCGTTAAAATGTCTTGCATGTTCTTCTTTGCATCACTTCCTCCATCATTCAGAGGAGTACTCAATTTGGCGATTGCATTTGGATAGGGCCTCCTTGATTTCCACCATTCCAGTGAGGACTTTGATCAATCAGTTCAAACTCCGAAGACCTACCCCGGCTACCCCGGCTACTACCTCGCGGTTCAGTGGCAAACGGCCGCAAGTCTTCCACACACAGCTGGGAACACAGCGAACTAGCGGAACTGTGACGCGACTCACGGGGCGCCTTCTTTTTTTCGCCGGAACCGAAGCGGACAGTTGAGACGTTTCTGAACATCGGAGCTGCTTGAAAAGCGCCTAAAGCTTTTAAAACCAACGTACCATGAACATGTTAGAAACCATCTTAGCCTCAGTTTGTAGTGAAATGCATCAAAAAGCTATCTACTCCATACCTGCGTCTTCCCCATTATCACTTTTTTCTGCCTTTTCACCCAAAAATGCTTTTGGAGGTGTAGAGGCGACTTTTCTGGAAATCGGCGTTTTTTGTCCTTGATGAAATATTGCAGAAAAAGTGATAGTTAGGAAGGCGCACATCAAGTTTTCAAGACTTGAACAGCTCTATCTATCGCGAGCGAGCGTATCTTTTTTCAGTGAGCTGCGATGCTGTCAAAAGCCATTTGGCCTTGGTGAAGGGACCCTAGCTTTTCATGCACATCATGACCAAATAGTTCTTACCAACTCGTCAGTTGGCAAGTTACAGACAAACATGCAATGAATTTGGACTCAGTTGAATAAAGCTGCGGAAGTATGATTTTTCAGAACATTGAAGAAATAGATGTACATTAACTCCACTTTCTGTGGACTCCGGAGGGTCAGGATGCATCCATGGCAAGCGAGCTCTCCAAGAAGAAGATCCTGCCCGGTGCTACACATTCTTTCAGCCCTTGTGGCTTCAGTGAGGGGTCATTCATTAAGTTCGCACCATGTCAAGTAGAAGGTCTGCTTCCCGGAGCGATGTGGAAGGTTTCGTATCTGAGGGTCTACCCACAGGAGCTAGCACGCGCGTGGGATGAATGCAGGTCGTTGGGGGACCGCTTCTTTGACAAGAAGGAATCCCGCTTGACCCGCTGGGGTGACAAACAGACCGTAGGGTTTGCCAGTGTGAAGAACATGAGATTCAATTTCAAAGCCCTGGAGTGTATGGCCAGTTGGTAGTGTCCAGTGGTGCCTTGGCCAAGATGATCTGCACAAATGATCCTCGAGATGAGGCAGGGTGTCCTCAAATGTAGGACCGGATAACCCCACATGTGAGCAACTTAGCAAGAGAGAATGTCTGCGTAGGTGCTTGGTGACAATTGGTGGGTGGCAATTGGTTGGTGTTCAATTGGTTGATGACAATTGGTTGATGACAATCGGTTGGTGACAATCAGTTGGTGGAAATTCGTTGGTGACGATTGGTGGGTGTCAATTGCGCCAATATTACAAGAGGAGTCTAATGTACCTCGACGCTAAGAACCGTGCTTCAAGATCTATCACACACAAGTTTCACGAAAAATTCATTGTGCTAGCGCTTCGAAAACACATAGAAAACAACAGATTTGAGGACCATGGTTTTGTAAAAAAACAGGCCCTCAAAAATAACCCTTCCGAAGGGCAGAGGCCCACCAGCACGCAAACGCTACACAAGGGCACAGCGGCGGAGACCCAGCAGCACCCAGTTTCATTTCTATCTATCTACGTATCTCTCGATCGCACGATCGTCCTAGCATTCAATCTGCATCAAATCTGCTGCATAGAAACCCACTCATCACTGCCCCTCGAACAAACAAAGTCCACAGCTCAGCTCATGCACACCAAAACTTCACATCAGTCAGTCAATGCCAGTCAGTCTGTCCTTCAATGCCGTCTCACATGTGAGTGACTGGTACATGTGTGGTGTGTGTGATGTTGTCTTGCGTGTATCAGTCTTGTGTTCTGACTGGCGTGGTGATCTGTGTCTGTGGTGTGGTAACAATTGGTGGGTAACAATTGGTTGGTGACAATTGCTAGGTGGCAATTGGTTGGTGACAATTGGTTGATAACAA